CATGTCCCACCCACTCTCCTTGTTTTCCAACTGGGGTAACTTGATAGTTATTCTCAGTTTCGAGCTGTGGGAAACACCTTCTATTGACCCTAAAATCTGCCACCCCCCCTCAACATACAAACACAAAGTTCACAGGGTACTTTATACCCTTTCCAAGATATTTTTCCAAACGTCTGAGTCTCTCAAAGGCTACTAATGAGAAGAAGTTAGTTGCTCTGCACTCCCTCTCACCCTCGTAATCCCCAGACACTCCTCTCCTCTCCTCTCACTTCCGTTTCCTCCCCTCATCCCTTCCTCTTTGCCCTGGTATCCCCCCTCCTCTGTGCTCCCCACTTCTTCTCCTCTCAAGCCTTCCCCTGTTATTGTGACACTCCAATGAATGGTTGACATAATGAATAAGGTAACTTAATGGTTCAAATTAATGAAACGCTAAATTAATGAATCCATCACAGTGACTTTATAATGGAGAATTTTCATTTATAGACAAAATGATCCATCAATAATGAAAACAGTAAGTTGGACCCTTTGGTGTTGGCTTTTAAAATGTTTTTTTGGAGTATACAATGTGTATTCCTTTAGTTTGACATAATTATGTAGGCCCATTTTTGGGGCTCTTGTCCATTGTTGTATACATTTGGATTTCTAAGGAAGGTTGATGTTGCTAGGAGAAGTAGTTTTGTTTATCACATTGAGAGGAATATCTTGATCTTCTGAACTTGCAAATATTTGCAAACGTACATATTTTTCAAAACATATTGGTTCTGGTTTCAATACTCATTTTCCACCCCTCAAAAAATGTTTTGCCCACATTGTTGTGTCAAGTTTTTCCTGTGGTATCAAAGAAGGCTTCAATGTTTTTTTTATCAAAGCTAGAGATTTGACTTGCGCGACACAACACTACTTCACAGTACAAAGACTGAGTGGGATCAGACATGAGTATTATAAAATATAATACATTAGCAAACATTGCCTCTTGTTCCTCCCAAAGAAGTGGCATTTAAAAGATGAAGGCTCGTCCTGCTCTGTTCAGCCTCTCTGTGTGAGAATGTGACCCTATGCTGATTAATCTGTTTTTAACCACCTCTGGCCCCCTGCCAAAGCCACAGGCCCACGCTCTCTCCCTTGTTTTTTTATTCTATCGCTTCTTTCAGAGCTGGGCACTTGCTGGGGGAAAGCAGTGTGCGCTCTCTTTATCCCTCTCTTGTGTAAAATGTTACCTTTCAACTCAAGGGGTTTCTACTCTTCTCTAATAGACCCTTTAAACAACAAAAATATAACTTTTAATCTTCCAAAAAAGACTTTCGCTTGTTGCTTCAACACAATTATAATTCCTCACTTAAAGGATCTTTGAATACAGTGTTCACTACCTCTTGTTTTGACATTTTAGTTTTTTTGACATTTAGCTGACCCTCTTACCTCCCTCCCCAACATCACCCACGTCCTCTTCATCTCTAACCTCCTTTCACTCACCCCACCTTACCCTCTCCCCCCGCTCTCCTTCTCCCCACTGTCTCTCTAGCGGTAATAAGCTGAACATTGCATTACAGTTTCCATTCATGCGCGCCCCTCTGATCTTCTCTGCGTGAATTTGAGTCCTGTGGCGCCCGCTGGACTCGCAGAACCCTGAAAGCTAGAGGCTTACACCCGCCGGTCACGGCCCACTGCTACACTGTAGAATATGTCCACCTTTAGTAATTGTTGTGACAATCATGGAGGAGAGGAGCGTGTTGTATTGTGATTATAGAATTAAAACCGCCTTAATAGAGGAGAAGATGGGGATTGATTCTGCTAATCTACACAACTGGAAATCTTACTCGGAAAGAAACATTTGAGAGATGTTTTTTTGTTTGTATGTTTCTTTATAGTACTCTTCGCCCAATGTGGGACAGTAGGGCTATCTGTGTGTGCCTGAGTTGATGTGACGTGTTATGCTCCTGTTGAACCGACAGGGTCACACACAAACACACACTCAGGGATGTTCCCATAGCCTTTCCGAATGGTTAAGCAATATCTCTCACTCTCTCCGTCGCTCTCACTCAGCCTCTCTTTTTCTCTTCTCGTGTCCGACTCGCTTCCTCCATGCTTGTATGTGTTTTCCCTCCTTTCTGCTTGTGGCACTCCTTCTCTACTTTCATTTTTGTGTTGCCTTGTGAATCACCAACCTGTCCTTTAAACTCTCAAAAGGTGAGATAGACAGAAAGGTACAAATAGAGTACTGCGCCTGCACAAAATATGAAAATAAAAGAAGCATGATTTGCTTTCACTTTCCCCTTAAGGGTAGTGACAAATGTGTGTTTTTTCATCACAGTTGAAGCACAACACCTAGGGAAGACTTGTTAGTTATTAATACACTTGTTTAAGGTCCAAAAGTATCACCTGGTACCACTGTCACATTGTCACAGGGTTTTTATCAGTTCTAAAGACTTTAATTTCCATTCCTAGAGCACCCCAGTTTTGTGAAATTGGAAAGAACCATATCACAGGAAATAACTCAGATCCAAATATGACTGGAAATGAACAATGGTCATATTAAGTTGTTTTTTTAAACAGATTCATGCATTCATTCTGGCTAACACAGAGTTAGTTCCATCCAGCTTTAATGAGCGGATACTCTAACCAGAACACCCAATTAGGGCTTCTCATTAGTGGCTTTGACAGAGCTGCCACTGTTCTACTCATCCTGAGAGTCTGAGAATGAACATGATGGTACTGATGATTATACTGTAGATAAACTACACAGAGAGAGGGCCCGACAGGAAAAACACAACAGCGTTCACTGCTGGATTTCCCTTATATTTTACCAAACCAAGTGATTGGTCCATTAAAAGTAAACAGGTGGGTATACTTATTTTGTCGTCAATGTACTGTATCTGGTAAGCTTAGTGGATGATGACTTTTATGTAACTTGTTCAATCCTACATACTTCCCCCCAGCTCTTAGAGAGCTTTAGATGGTATGGGGTTTTTGCATACAGATTATAGTCTTGTCATCATATATTTAAAAAAAACACACATGCGTAAACATATGTAGGGAAAATGTCCTGTTGTGTAGTTTATGCCCATCACATCAGAATAAGTGATAATGCAAAGGTAAACAGAGGTTATGTACTTTGTCAATTGATGACAAATGGGACCGGGTGTTTGTTTTGCGCTAATTATTTTTGGGAAGCCTCCAATGCATTGGTTACAATGACATAAAAATAAACCATGACCATATCTGATTCTGAAGTCCCACATGCACCACATGTCCATGACATTGTCCCTGCCCTGAAGTCCTCCATTTCTATCTAACCTACCTTCCTTTCCCAGAGGAAAAAAAACTAAAAGTGGGTGGCACTAGACACATTCAACTCTGAATTGCAAATAGCACCCAGCTAGTTCATGATCAAGTTGTATGTATGCATAATAAGGAGACAAATGGCTTTAGTATTACATTTGGAATAAATCTGTGGCACCACACAGACATTGATTATGTTCAGCAAAATTGAATTTTAGGATGTAACCGATGTGTTCACCAACTTCCACTGACTTTTTACACGTCAGCACAATCTCAGCTCAGTCCAGTATGTTTGTCAGTTTGTCAGTTTGCATATCTGCCTGTGAACTATTTGAACCTTTGCCATCTGTCAAACAAAGTATGACTTCTAAAGGCTCTGCCTGGGAAATACACGCACATGTTAAATTCTGAATGCACACAAAGTTCAAATAGTATTAAAAGTATGATGAACATTCTGGAGAAAATGTGGTGAGGCAGATCCAACAATACTAAAACTTTAGAAGGTTCAAAAATCAATTTTAAGCCAATAAAATCAATAATTTTCAAAAGGAATGTACCAAGCATGATATGCTTTAAATCTCTTTCTTCACGTGAGTTTGGACAACAGTTTAAAGGTCAATTGTGGCCGAAAATGTTCACTTAAAAATGAAACAAAAAAGGATCCCTTTTCAGTGTTCATATGTGAATAAATTGATTAATATCTTTTATGGGTTTTTGTCAAACAAAAAGTAACAACCACCTCAGTTTTGGCTCTGATAAGTTGGTATGGGTTGTCATGGCCTTAACTTTTAAATACATAAAAGACTCATTGAGAATGGATATTAATAATATAACAAGAATAGTGTAAACCATCATTTAGATTAATGTTCTTTTTTGAAATTCAAGAATTCCTTGGTTGCCACAGCCCCACCTGGGACTAAAACATATATTTTAAATCCCGAAAACAAACCAGACTGCATTTCCCAGACATCAGAGAGAACCACTTTCCAGAATGAAAGCATATGATTCCTTGGAAAACAGTTAAACCATAAAACAACGTGTTCCCGTGATACTAACTTTACTACTGGCGGAAACACCGTTTAAACACAAGGGAACACGACGACCACAGTCGATAAAACGGCTTTAAATAAAATAATGTCGTCATTCTCAACAGATGTGTGTCTTTATCCCAGAAAAACGGACGGGACGGATGTTTGAATAGTCTTCAAACGTTAGCATCATTACCGCCAACGGTAAGGTAACATAGCGGAGGGATTCACCTACACCAGGAAATACAGGCACCACTAGCAACGTAACGAGGTCTATTCATTTTCAAAATGACTTTTTAACATGCCATTTACGCTGGTTTTGTACTAAGCGTTTCCACGCAATCTTTAATGCTACCCACATAAAAACCATCCGAGCGTTATACGGCGCGGCACATGAAAGTAGTTTAGGTGATGGGGTAATGTGGAGGAAGATAGGCGCCATGAAGAACATTATATCGGAGGTATGACTGCGACTCCAGATAACGGATTTGATTGGCAAGCATGCAGTTTGCTTGACCATTTTCAAAAAACTGCTTTTGGTAATGTGTTTGTGGGTACAGGTTGAGCAGCTAGTCCTATTAAATGCAACTAAATCGACATTTAAACCATTTAAATACCCGACAAGCATTAAAGCAGCCGCGGTTGCTGATGTAAATATCACGTGATTAAAAAAAAGGTGGTCAAATTGAACGTTACCTGTTGTATTTTTCAACGATGCGTGTTGAGAACTTTTCCAAACGTGGCCTCTCACTCTGTTCTCCTCCAAAAAATAACGTACGTCCCACTATCTCAGCCTGCAAAAATCTCCACTACAGTCCCCACCGAAAATCTGGCTAGGGCTCAAAGCAGACGTGTCCATCATCCCCAAGACCCGCCCCTTACAGTGAAAAATATCTTTTAGCGGTCTCTCATTGGCTCAGAGGGGCCAACTGTATTAGAATCTAAGATGTGATTGGTCGCCAGCGCTGTCCATCTGATTTGGAGGGAGGTTTGATGCAGATGTGGCAGTACTAGCGTGGCGAGGCAGCCCCCTCTAGAGGACGAATAGCAATACTGCACTGAGGTTGACTGTTTTTATTTGTTCTTATATTTTAAGGCCCAAAATTAGAATAGAAAATGTGTGATCCCAAGAGCTGGTCATATTTGTATTATTTAAAATAACAAGTTGAGGGTTTACTTACACACAACGGACACATTAGTCATTGTATAACTTAAGGCACTTCAATGGCACACACACACACACACACACACACACACACACACACACACGCACACACACACACACACACACACACACACACACACACACACACACACACACACACACACACACACACATATTGCATACTGTATATACCCACACCCAGATTAGGGAAGCTCAAGTAATAAGCTTATAGCGTAAGGGAGCGTGGAGATTTGACATGCACAAAAGAGAAGGAGTAAACAACCACATAAGAACAACATCAATGTATACAATAACACAAGCAACTACAAGAGAACGTTGAGTGAGTGAAATACTAAATAAAATCATAAAAGCAAAGGATCATTTGTAAGTAGAAAGAATCACATTATTCACACAAAAGGCTTATTTCAGTGGACTCACCATTAGTAGTGTCCAGCAGAAAGGCCAGTAGAGACACACAAACATAGAAGAATGGAGACAAGCAGAACAGAAAATCAGATATTTCTTTCAACCATTGGTCTATCAACATGTTTATTTTAAGTGCATATGCTAAGGTTGCTTTCTCTAAATCTGTTTTATAACCAAACGTAAGTAATGAGAGATCAAAATATAGACTTATCTAATAACAATATATTGATGAATTACATTTGACTGACTGTTGTAGGGGGAGTTAAAGGAAACACACCCACGCTAGAACATTTAATCACAGAAATAATGCACGGCTGAGTGAATTAAGGTCTCCTCCGTCTGTTTCTGAAGACCCTTTGGCCTCACCAGTCCTTAAATTGAATTGCAAGCTGCTGAGGAGGACACACGGAGAACAGCTTGACCTTTTATGAGTCTCAGTTTGGATCATGATAAGATCAACACATGGTGCCTAGAGCATAATATCAAATGATGAATGCTGATAAATGTGACATCTCCAAAGCAGGATAAAGAGAACTGAATAAATGCTAAAAATTCTGATAAATAAGTGGCTTATATTTTCCAACCTGTATGTTTTTTGTGACTCAAAACCACATGAACTTAACTTTCATCAATGAGTATATGGGTATACCATTTCCAACTGTTTCTATTCTACTATGCTTCTCTTCTATTCACAAGCTATAACATCTAGAACACATAAGGTCACAACAAAGACAGTACTGACAGAAATGTGAGGTCCCTACAGAGCTTCTGCATGTTTTTCCTAATATCTAATATCATACAAAACAAGCCATGAAATCAGAAAGGTGTACCTGATAGTCAAAGGTCCCATACTGCAGAAATAGTTCCCACTCTGAGAATACGTCTTGGCTCTTCACCTAATCAGCCTGACCTGATCTAAGATCTCTCCCTTCTCCGCTGAAGTGTGTCTCTCCGCCTCCTGCTTTTCCCTACAGTAACCTCTCAACAGTTGCCTTATTCTTAACGCCGAGTGTCTTTACTTTAACCAACAGATTGTGCTAGTGTCGATAAGCTAAACAGGCTTGGCTATCAGCGTTCTTCATGCGGTTTCCCATGCAGGCATGAGATCAAGCCAGTACAGATTCTCTGGAGGATTAGTGGCCAGCCCTTCTGAGGGGAATTACCCTGACACAGCCATCTGGACAGCGAAACATTGCCCACTGGACCAGCTACAGTCCTGCCAACTCTGGGCCCTGATCAGAAGATATTGCTCAGTCATTCTCTCACCCTGACCAGAGAACAGCGCAAGAATTCAGCCCTTACCCTCCATTGTTCCAAAAACTATCATATCAAGTTATGCTTAAACTAGGTGATCTGCACTCTTTTTGTGATGTTGATTGCAGCCAAAAATGAGTTATTGGATTTTGTAGAACTCTTTCAGAGATTGAGATTAATTGAATTATTTGTGATTGCAATATAAATAGAAACTTATTATCCGCCTGGGCTATTTGATATGAGATTTTAGAGATTGTTGAATTATATTTGAAGATTATAAGGTAATATTGCTCTACCAAAAACAATAATGTTTTTATTCATATTTTCTTCTTTTTCATGGCATGTGTATTCGTCATACTTAAAAAAGAATGATCCACAATTTTAAAAGTGAGATCATACTTCTGCTGGGGTATGCAACAAATTAACAAACGTTGTCATTGAAGTAGACACGATCAAAACATTTTACTTGAGAGAAGCCTTTGAGATGATTTTAATCAGCTTATCAAATAAGTCTCCTTAAATATATTTAATTTGACTATTTACATTGTGAAGGTGTGGCAAAGAGGCTTCGTGGGCTTGTTTTTCTCTGCAAAAATTATGCACATACAAACCACAATATGCGGAAGCAAAACATGTATTAAACTGTCATGTATTACTTCAGACACCACTATGATGGAGGAAATGTATATCTGGGAAATCATGTTCAACAGAAATATACTGAAACCGTCACCACACATGCAGGCTGGAATGCAAACCGCCTTATGTCACGGGTGAAAGAAACTTATTGCGCATTATGTCTGACACATTACTGCTAATAAACATTAAAGCTGCAAACTAAGTGATATTTAGTATTACTTTATTAACAAAACAATTTCTGTGCTATTATCTGAACACATTCTACATTTTGAAAATATTATATTCAACAATTGCCTGCAAAGATAGCCAGACACATGCACACATGTACAGTAGACACCCAGGCTAGAGACAGGCACATGCTTTAAAATACATAATACTTGTAAAAAATACACATAAATACATAAAACTCTCTGTTACCTGTCAACTAGTCGATAGCCAAGCTGCTCGACTGCAGTGAGCATTTCCTTATATTACTCCTCTTCTCTCGTACGTTAATGAGTGTCGAACAAATACCAAGATACTGAACAAATACTTCTCTTACTTCACACCTGTTTGTTTAATGTAATGTCAACCATCAGCCCCCCCCCCCCCCCCTCCCCTCCCTCTCTGTCTCTTCTTCTTGCACGTCTTTCAATGTTGTAACTCTACACTCCAGGATCATGTGTCAGCTAAGGAAGTAAAGAACAAAGAGGAAGAACATATTAATGAGAAACAGAGCGATGATGTTGTACATAGCTTGAAGAGGCAAGATATTGATAGTTTTTTATGCAGGGTGCACCCATGGGTGGCACCTCTACCTTATCACTTTGGGTAAGGTGATCAGATGTAGAGACGGAAACAACTTATGTATTAAATTGAAGGTTTCAGCTGTGTGTGTACTTGAATAAGTGACACTGGGTCTCTGTACAATGTATTTTCGATGAGTCCTCCTCTGTGACACAAACAAGTGTGTGTGTGTGTGTGTGTGTGTGTGTGTGTGTGTGTGTGTGTGTGTGTGTGTGTGTGTGTGTGTGTGTGTGTGTGTGTGTGTGTGTGTGTGTGTGTGTGTGTGTGTGTATTTGTATGGAGTAAATAGTCATAGGTGTGCCTTGACTTAAGAAGCGTCAAGCAGAAAAATACACATTGTATTTCGTGATCACATGTGTGAGTATGGAAACTGACCAGTTACTCACACCCACAAACGATGAACTGCTCCTAAAATGGCTCTGTGTTGTCATGTGTTGTACGATGTTAGCATGTATTCGAAACTGGTAATTGAGAGCATTTTCAGTCAGAACTATAATACACATGAATGACCAATTAAAATTGAAAAAATAAATGCTTAGGAGGTTTTACATATAGAATAGAAACATATAGAACAGTTATGTTCTGGTACCTGAATGCACCACGAAAGAGAGGCAGTGGTGAAAGAAGTGCATATATATTTTAAAGTAGAAGTACACTATAAAAACCTTGAAGCAAGCATTGTCTTTCATTTTATGTATTTTGTCAACAGGTTCCACATAATTGTATGAGTTGAACGTATAAAAAACGTTATTAAAACTTAACTTTATTGCTTTCAACTTATCTAATACAGTTATGTGAAATATGTTGACATAATAAATTGAATTAAAGTCAACGTTTCACTTTTTTCAGTGTAGCAATACCACAGTGTAGAAATACATACCATAAAGCTGTACTTTTGAAATATATATATATATATAAAAAATGACCAATTTAAGAATGATGCATATTGTATTTTCTTTATTCCATTTTTACAAAAGCTCTGTGCAGTGGTAAATATAGTGGCAGTGCCTATGATCTATAATACTGAGAAACCACTAGAGGACAGCAGCTCCTTTTCGCATTAAAGGAAGTATCTTCTGAATCATGACAGAAAAACTAAACTCTTGTTTCACTGCATGTGGGCACAGTGTACAACTATTAACTCTGAAATAAATGTTTGGGAAAAAAGCAGATGATCTTAGTAAAGGTTATTTTCTGTGGGAAGAGCCTTGTAGATCATGTGTTGTTACTTGGTTTTCCATTCTTTTGCACTGTCTCACATAGTCATGTCGAAACTTAACAGAAAAATGTTAGGAATTTGGTGTATTTCATACAAAGAAAGCTAAGAGGAAGCTCATCTCATGCCTATTAAATACTGTAGCTGATTATACTTGTAGGAATCCCTGACACGAGTCATTAGATGGTCCGGTAACTGACTTAAAACTTTATGAAATTACATTTTAAGAACGTTGATGTTGTTGGATAATGTCAAAACGTAACAGTGTGCCAGATATTACTTCACAAATGTTTAACATGACTTTGACTATCAATTTTATTATACTTATACTTTCTGACAGCGTTAAACTGACAACTTTT